CTACCGATCCGGCCCTCCGCAAGCTTTTTCTATGTCGTCTCAGGCATCGCAGCAGTCACTTCCTCTTGTCCCGGGCGCGTCCTCGCATTGCCAGGTACTGGATCGACAAGCATCGAGAACTCGACCTGGCGCAGTTCGGCCGGCGAAACAGGTCCTTCTTAGCTGTGTCTCTGTCTTTCTGTTTCTGACTCTCTTTGCTCTCTGCTCCTTTTTCGCTCTGTCCTTTTCCGTCTTCTCTTGCCTTTCTTCTAACTCTCTGCATCTGCCTTCTTCCGGAGAGCTGCCAGGCGGTCACACCAGTGAGTCGGGCTTCTGAGACGGCGACAGCTGGCATCCAAAAAAAGAATGCCATGTTTCGGCAAGGTTGATAGTCCAACGCTTGTGGTCGTGCCCCTGTGTGATCCTGTGATTTCTGTTTGGGCCGTAGACAAATTCTAACAATTTAGCTGTGAGGAGCCTCTGTGCTCTCCGTCACTCCGCCATGGCACCAAAGGCGCGGCTGCCCGATGCGGCCACCGCCTTTCAAGACACGAATCGCGCCCTGAAGATCCGGAAGCATTGGCTGCACTTGATCTTGACCGGAGAGAAAGTCATAGAAGTACGAGGGAGCAAATGCGCTCACCTCGGAAGAGTGACTCTGATGGAGACCGGCTCTCTCTTGCTTCGTGCTCGAGTGACGATCACGGAGTCTCACCGTATGACGGACGCAGAGATCCAGGAACATCACGAAGCAGTTTCGGTAACTCGGTTGCATACACGTGGCACAAGCTGTGAGTGATAGGACTAGCTTGCACTTGTCGTTCTCAGGCACTGAACTATTCCCAGTACTGGGCTTGGTCTCTGGCCGATGTGGAAGTTTTGCAGCCACCGATTGCGGTGCCGTCCATCGTCGCCCGCGGCTCCGTGACTTGGATGCGCCGCGAGNNGACAACTGGGGGAGCAGACGCTGCCGCAATATTTCCATAGATCTGGACGGTCGCGAAGCCCACCACCTGCGACTGCGGACGTGGAGAACATCGACTGAGGGCTGTTCTTTACACGTCTCTTGTCCATCCGTTTGGGTCCGTACCTGGCGGCCAAGATCCTTCGGCCTGCCGGTAGTCCCCTGAGGCGCGATCTTGCAAGACGCTGCGAAAGCAGCATAGGTGCCGAGAGACGGTTTTGGAGTCTGGCGCGACAGCTGGGTGGAAAAAAACGCTGACAGCCAGAGCGCGGACGCCGACGTCTGCCTGCTGCAGTTGCATCAATGTGACTCGTTCTGTTGTCTGTAACCCAGTCTGTGGCGCAGCTCGTGGAAGACCACAACAGATTACTCTGTAGCCCTCTAGCTTTCTCGACGCTCATGGCTCCAAAAAGGCGCGGCGGCAAGGAGTCCAAGGTCGAGCTCTACAATCACTTGGCCAAGAACCTGCTGCGCCCGTTCCCAGATGCGGCTGGGAACTTTTTGTGGCTGAAGCGATCTGACAAAGCTCAACGTGAGCAGGATATGCTCAAGCCTGCCTACTTGGCGAAAACTCGCGCTGTCGAGAACTGCGAGGCTTTGTCTCGGATGTCCACCTACTTGTCGGAAGAGGGTGCAACCATCAGCAACGCCGCCAACTACCTGGGAAATTCACCGACCGTTGAAAAGCTGGGTCTGGACTTCTTCCAGACACTCGGAAGCCCTTCTGGGCAGAAGTTCGTGAAAGCCTGCGCCTTCTTCGACAAGGACGATTCATCCAGCAAAGACGCAGGCAGCGTGGACGGCCACGTCGACGCGTATATCGACTTCCTTTCGAGCGACGGTGACACCAAGATCAAGAAGGCCCGCCGCATGGTCTTGGCCGGCGCTCGAGCCTACCTGTGTGGAATGAGCTTTCTCGAGCAGGCGGCACTGGTACGCCACCCAGAAATTTGGGCCCCGAAAGTCGTGATGGAAACGCAGCAAGCTTCCGCGCGAGAGTTTCGCAAGAAGCCCACTTGCAAGCGATTGCGCCAAGTGCTCAAGGACAGTGCGTTGAGCCTGTTGGAGGCCGTCGAAGC